GAAGCCCTGCACATCCACCCCGGCCCTCTGCGCCCCACGCCTGCCCTGCCCGGGCCTGAGTCCGGGGGGAGCCCCGCCCCCTCACCCGGGTTGCCAGGCCCAGCACAGGGCCCTGCTGCCCAGACCTCTGATCCCAGCCAGCAGCCCAGGGAGAGGGCCTGGGCTACCCTGCCCTCCCTGCCCCACCCCAGGGGCCACTTGGGGAAACCCTTGGCACCTGTTTATTTCAGTATAGGGGGTGGAGCTCCTGTCCTTCCCACTGAGCTACAGCCCCAGCCCACCCGCTACCCTTTTTGACCTCTGGTCTCCCCAAGTTTTCCAGGGTTGGGCTCAAACTTGAATCCTCCTGCCTCAGCCTCCTAGAGTGTTGGGATCACAGGTGTTCACTTGGACACCCAGCCCCTGCACCTTTTTAGAAAGGTAAACCCAACCTGAAACGGACTCTTGGTGCAAGGCCCCAGGGCTCCACCCCAAGTGATGCATTCTAAAGAAAAGTTAAGCCTCACCTCTGCCACCATTGGCCTCCACACAGAGAAACGAAACACAAACGGTCACAGTGACTTTGACAGGTCAGGCCCAAGATGCACCTTGGAGATACACAGGGCAGATGGTCAGCCCCTTAGGCCAGGAAGGCGTTCTGGTACTCAGGAGGCTGAGGCAAGAGGAGGATCACAGCGAGTCGGAGGCCAGCTTGGGCTATATAGTGAGTTCAAGGCCAGCCTGGGATACACAGCAAGACCCTGTCTAAAAAAAACCCAAAAAACAAAGATAGGAGCCGGGGATGTAGCTCGGTGGCGCCACGCAAGTGAAAAATCCTGAGTTTGATTCCCTGTACAGAGTAGGGGGGTGGGGGGGCGTGGTGGTGCACTCCTGTAATCCCAACACTCAGGAGGCTGAGGCAGGAGGATTGCCTGAGTTGAAGGCCAGCCTGGGCTACGCAGTGAGGCCCTGTCTCAAAAAAGAACTAAATAAATAAACGTGTACCTATCGTGTGTCTGTGGCACCCAATATACTGCAGATCACATTGCTGCTGTGCCGTTGGCACACTCGGTGATGTTGGGCCGCCTCCCTTCCCTGGGCCTTGTCTAGGAGCTGGGACCAGGAGAGTTCCAGCCTCGTGGGCTGCGGATGAACACAGGACCCACGCCCACAAGATTGGTCACTCAATCTGCTTTGTCCTGGGCACACACCATGGGACCCCCCCGTTCCTGTCCAGGGCCCTGAAGAACGGGCCCTTGGCACCTGCCTGCCCGAAGCTGAGCTGTACGAAAGTGGAGCTGTGCCCCACTTTCTGGCTGTTCCCTACTCATCTGCACTTTTGAAAAGAGAAGGGGAGTCCTGTTCCTTGCCATGCCTGGTTGTTTACTGGGCTAACAGTGGAGTACAGGAGCCCCAACCCTATCCTTGTGGAGAGACACCTAACAGAGGAAAAGAAGGAGGCCCAGGGGCTCGTGCAAAGGCCCTGTGGCTGGTGAGAACGCTGAGAAATCCCAGAATGCAGAGCAAGGGTGCACCTAAAATGGAGATTCCCCTGGGCCTGCTCTTGTGATCCTTCTGCCTCAGCCTCCCAGAATGCTGTGATTACAGGCATGCATCACCACACTAGGCTTGTCCATGGTTTTCTGGGCTGTGGCTACTTCTGCTCCTTCATCTTGAGCATCCAGTTTGCCCTCCTGCTCCCCACCCGCCAGGACAAGGCTGGGTGGGGGGAAGGCTCTGCATGGAGGCTGGGCTGGGAGGAGTCAGCCAGGCAGAGGGCACAGGGCACAGGTCCCATGCAAAGGCCCTGCAGTGAGAACAAATCAGGGTCCTGGGGAGCCATGGAGGGTGTAGGCAGGAAGGTGGCACTCAGGAGGATCTCTCTGGCCGCCTGGGGGAGGATTAGGGACCGGGAGGTCAGCAAGGGGGCTGGATGGGGGATGGGCAGGCTGAAATGACTTGGGGAGATTTGGCTGGATACCAGGCAGGGAGGGTTGGCCTTGGGGTGGGCAGGGCCCAAGAAGCTGGGTCAGGGGCAGGAGAGATGGAAGGGGTGGCTTTGGTAGCCTCGGGTCCCACCCCACTCCATGCCCAGCCCTGGCCCTACAACACCCCTGGGCCCACAGGACTGCCTGGGGGAAGGCAGAGTCTCGAGTAAGCAGCAGGCAGCTCAGATCTATGCCCAGGGCCCGGGCTAACCCACAGCAGCCCCTGGGTACCCCAGGCCGGCCCAGATCTTTTGCTTTAAATCTCTTCCCCTGAGCTGGGCGTGGTGGCACAGGCCTGTGATCCCAGCACTTGAGAGGCTGAGGCAGGAGGATCATCTCAAATGCCTGGGCTCCATTATGAGTTCAAGGCCACCCGGCCCTGGCTCTGCCTCAAAAATCAAACAAAACCCCCAAATCTCTTGCTTGGAGATGGACAGAGGCAGCAGACAAGGCTGCCAGCCCCACAGCTGAACAAACACCACAGTCTGGAGATTCTGAGAGCGGGGGTGACAGGGAGGTGCTGGACTCTCTCTTGGTGGCCCCGGGCCCCAGGGAGCTGCTGTGGCCCCCCCACTCTGAGTGCTGAGAAGCGGGGCTCCCCCACACTCGGGGTGCCCTGCAGTCCCATAGCTGCCGCAGGACAGGGTGTTTCCGCCACCGAAAGGGTGCCCTGGTCCCATAGCTGCCGCAGGACAGGGTGTTTCCGCCACCGAATCTGTCCCCTCCCCGACTGCAGCCTCCACTTCCCCTCCTCTGTGCAGCCCCAGGGGGTGCTGCAGACCCCAGGGCCCGGCCCGGCCCCCCAGTCACTGCCGCCGTCACCTCCATCTGGGCCCAGACCGCACTGTTTCTTCTCTCTTCTTTTGCAGCAGGCTCTGCTGCCCTGTGTCCCGAAGTGGGCTGGCATGAGGACCGCCTGCCCCCAGTTGTCCAGTGTGTGCCCCCGCATGCCCTGCACACGTGCGTGTGGGCACAAGCACCTGCGTGAGCAGCCAGGCGCCCGAGTCCCGCCTGTGCACACAGGTGCGCCTGATGCCGGGGTGGAGGGAGGACCCAGCTCACCCTCCTGTGGGGTAAGGGTTTGAGGACCAAGAGAGCCCCAGCCTGGCCGCCACACGAACCCCGGGTTTCCTCAGCAATGGTGACCGAGACCCCGCGTACCCACACCTCCTGTGGGCATCACATGGACAGAATCACTGCCACACACCGCGGCTGTGCCCAGCCCGCCACGTGGTCGGGAATCTTCCTGTGGGCACAGGGACTGTGGCTGCCACGTCCACGGTGTTGGAGCTGGTGGGGCTGAGCCAGGGGCCGGGGCTCAGGCCAGACAGCTCCTGCCCCTTAAAAGGACCGCTCCTGACTCGGCGGAGGGGCACACATCTGCAATCCTAGCTTCGCGGGAGGCCGAGGCAGGAGAATTGCGAGTTGGATCCAACGTGGGCAACTTAAAGAGAGAACCACGTCTCAAAAAATAGAAAAGATGTGAGGCCGGCGCTGGGTGGCGGTGCGCTTGCTGGGTATCTCAAGGCTGAGTTCAATCCTCCCCCTAAAGAAGCACACAGAGGGATTGCTCCCCTGAGAATATGGTCTCCACAGCCCCTCTGGACCCAGACCTGGAGATGCCCACCCTTCCCCACCCCGTCCCGGGGCCTGAGCGTCACAGGAGAGAAGTGACAAGGACTGCGGGCCCTGCGTGGGAAGAAAGAGAAACCAGAGAGGTTGGTCTCTGTGACTGAGGTCACACAGCGAGCGGAGGAAGTGGACTCTCATTCATTCATTGAACAATTCCTTGAATTCCAAGAGGGAACAAAAGCCCAGGGGCAAGAAGGGTAGATTCTCCCTATGTTGCTGGACCAGACCCCTAAAGTCCCTGTGCCTCAATGTACCCTCTGTCAAGGGCGCGCAGAAAGGGCTGGGGAGGTCGTCGTGCGCTTCTCACGAGGCACAGGAAAGAATCCCGAGAGCAACAAGGGCTCGGGACGCCGGTTTCCATGGGAGCCGCGCAGCGTGGGCTGGGCGTGGGCTGGCGCCTCAGTGGGCGGGGCCTCCCAGGCTGTGGGGCTGGGTACTTCCGGCCCTTGAGGCCTAGCGCGCAGGCCTGGGGCGGCCTGGCCTCCAGAACCGCCTGTATTGTCCGTAAATGACCCAGTGGCCTGAGCAAAAGCAGAAGGCCGCCGAGCAGGCTGTCCAGGGCCCTGCACAGAGGTCCACCTCACAGCCAAGAACCCAGAACAAGAAAGGTCAGGCTTCTGCCTCCTCTAGCTTGCTTGGATTTAAGATTTTTTTTTTTTTAACTAAGAATCGAACTCGGGACCTTGTGCTTGTGAAGCAGGTGGCAAAACCACTGAGCTAAATCCCCAGCCCCTTCTAGCTTGCTTGGAAAGCAAGGAGTGGCTCCCAAGCCTGGGCCCCTCGATGCAGATGGGAAAGATTAGAGAGGGAAGTTAGGTATGGGGGTGCATGCCTGTGATTCAAGCGCTTGGGCAGGCTGAGGCAGGAGGATTGCAAGCTTGAGCACAGCCTCGGTAACAACGATTGAGACCCTGCTTCAAGAAAAAAATCAAAATTAAAAGGGCTGCGGATGTAGCTCAGTGCAAAGGCCCTGGGTTCAGTTGCCAGTACTGCAAAAACCGAATCAAACTAAACCAACAAGCAAAAGAAAGACTAGGGAGGGGAAGGTGTGGCCATCTTTGACCTTGTGGAGAGAGGGCCAGAAGAGGGGGCAGCACCCTTCTTACCCCACTCAGCAGGAAAGAAAGCAAGCGCCCGACACGCAGCAGGTTTTCTCATTTCTTCAATCATGTTTTCAGCAGTGCAGCCCTGTTGTCTCAATGCTTGGGAGGCTGAGGCAGGAGGATCACCATGAGTTCAAGGCCAGCCTGGGCTACATCGTGAGACCTGGTCTCAAATAAATGAGTACATAATTAATGAACCTATTCATTGGACTGCCTGGGGCTTGGGCGAGCCTCGGCAGGCACTTTTCTTTCCTGACACCCCTTTCCTGGTGTGAGTGAGCAGTCGGGGTGAGGGCCCCCTCTGTCCCCTCCCTGAATCTTGTTGCTCTTAAGGCCTGGGGCTGTGAGAGGCCTGGGACAGGCAGCCCTGGTGATAGCTCACAGGTCTCTACTCCTCCTCCTCCCGACCTCCTTCTGAAATGAGGCCTTGTGCTGGGAGAAGCATGGCAGAGACCTCTGGCCAATTCTTGGCTCTCTTCCTGGGGCCCCGCTCTGCCTGCCACACACACCGCCCTTCCTCCACCCCAGCCTGTCCTTGGTTGCCTCACTGCACGGGGAGCTCACTACCTCTGAGGCTGCAGTAACCCCACAGATTCAGGTGGTTCCCCCACTCTGCCTCCCGAGCAAACTGCACCCCTGCCCCAGGCAGCCCTTCCGGCCAGGACCGCAGCCCTGGAGCCAGCTTCTCCCAGATCAGAAACCTCTTGCTCCTTCACCAGAGCTGAAGGCAGAGGAAAGACAGAGATTTGCTTGAGGCAAACAGCTCCCCCCCAGGGACTCCGGAGTGGGGAGGGCAGCGGCGGGGCTTCCTGGGGCCACAGCGAGTGCTGCCACACAGCCCAGACTTCGTCCTGTCCCGGGGTGGCTCTGAAGCTGGTGCCCCAGTTCCCAGAGCCAGCTCCGGATGCTCTTTGAGGGCCCTTGCCAGCTGCATGCCCAGGGTCCGGGCCTGCAGCCTGTGTGGGACATGGAAGGGGTGGAGGGTATGCATTCCATGTCTGTCTCCTCCCCGGTGCTGTGTCCTGCTGGGTCTTTTCATTTATTTACTTATCAGCTTATTGGGGGTGTTTTCTTGAGACAAGCTCTTGCAAGGTAGCTCAGGATGGCCGCGAACAAAGTTGCTCAGGCTGACCCTGGAGCTTGCTTACCACCCTCCTGCCTCAGCCTCCAGAGAGGGAATCCCAGGTGTGAGCCACCACAGTGGGCCCAGTGGGTCTTTCATAAGTGAACAATTCGCTCTCAGCAGGATGCGCTTGGGCGCTGGTGAGATGGGTCAAGGTTGGGGAGAGGATTCCCACTGAGTGAGATGGGCTCGGTCTAGGAACAGCGCCAGGCCCAGATCGGGGTACCTCAAGCTGTTGTAAAACCCGGGTCCGGGCCCTGTGCTCAGAAAGCGGGGTTCGGTAGTTGGGGAGGCCCAGGAATCTGCAGTGGGAGCTCACAGCCTGGCCCGCCACTGCCCGGTGAGGAACTAGAAGGCTAGAAAGCCCTCTCTGTTGCACACAGAGGCCCCTGGGCTCAGCCTGGGGCGTGGAGGAAGCAAAGCCCCCACCCATGAGGAAGGTGAGATGCATTTTGGGGTGGGCAGGTGACAGCACGGAAGGTGTGTGTGAGGTTGAACGGGGGCTCCTGTCACTAAGTGACCTCGTGTTGCACCTCTGTTCCTCTTTGTCTCTATCTGCAAAGGCTCGGCTGTGCCACCTACAGAGGTCATTTACCAGGAAGCGGATGAAGCTGGAGCTCTGAGACTTTCTTCTTTTTCTTTTTTACCATACTGGGGATTGAACTCAAGGCCTTCACACTGAGCTCCATCCCAGCCCCTTTTGTTTCGAGACAGAGTTTCCCTAAGTCTCTAAATTGCCTAGGCTTAGCTAGAACTTGTGATCCTCCTGCCTCAGCCTCCCAGAGTGCTGGATTACAGCCACGCACAACTATACCCAGCAGGCATTCTTCTCAAAGTGGGTCCCCAAGATTGTAAAACCTTCAGGCCCCACAAAATCGAGCTCTGTTTCCAGTTACCTAACAGCGCGGCTCTAAGATTTTATATGGAGACAAGCAACCCTCCCAGGGACCTGTGTGCGAGGAGTCTGTGGCCTCCTCAACTCAGGCGTCTTGGTCAGGGCGCAAGGGTCCAGGGCCGGCTGAGGACGCTGTCCTGCCTGCCTGCCACCCCCTACCCCTCAGGGCCCCAAACATCTCTAGCCAGACAGAAGTGGGGAGGAGGAATCTGGAAAAATGGAGGCCGTGGGAATGGGTAAGGGAGACAAACGGGGGCAGGGAAGGAGGAACCGGGGGTGTGGGGTCCCCGCAGACCCCCTGGCTGCCCCATGCACAGCCGGGGCCTTAAGGAGCCAGCTGGAGGTGCCGGTGTGGGGACCCGGCTTTGATAATGACTTTCAAAAGCTGAGGCCCGCAGGTAGGGTGGGGAATGGGGGCAGTACAAAGGCACATCCCGTGCCAGGCTGTGCCCAAGTGCTCATCTCCTACCTCCTGACATTTGCAAAACCACACAGCATCGGGGAAAACAGGATCCAGCTGGGATCTGGTCACTACTCCCAAGCCCTCCCTACTATGCCCTCTGCCATGGGCGTGGGGCCGTAGTGGGCCTGCAGGAGGAGGAAGCCAGGCCCGGCCAGGATGC